AACACACCTGCAGGCTGATGAGATGGAATGTTTGACGTTGCACTAGGGTATCGTATAACAGGGAAACCCCATGCAACAGTCTTATCATACACACTCAATCGGAGGGATCCATCTGTGCGTGTCTGCAGCTTCGCACCTAAGAAAGTGCAAGAACCATCAGGATCCGTTGTCTCCTTCCATTCCAGACCATAACAGGCTGGCGATGGCGGGAGGCAACCGAAAGTGAGGACATCATCAATGAAACTATAAGTGAAAGCATATATTGTCGAGCAGCAGAAGGATCCACACATTGCAGGTTGTCAACGTACTGCGCCTCATCCCAATAAAGTGTAAGATTAGCAATCTCAGGACCAGCATTTGTCCCCATAGGGATACCCACGTCTTGATGACGCACAAGGCCATCCGCTGTATATAAATATGTATTAGTAACAATAAAACGAAGATGTTGAAGAATGTCCGACACAGAAAGAAGAGTGCCAGGTCCCGTATCGGTTGTCCACTCCCCTGCACGCGGTCCACGGACCACCATATGAAGAGCAATATAGAATGAACGTGTCCGTGTATGCTGTTGTGCCTGTGCAAGAGCGTAGGCATGTGCCTCATCAATGGCGTTAGCAACATTGTTAAGAATGCGTTGATGAGGAACATTAGTATACATGGTAGTAAAATCTACCGTATGAACAGGGGTTAGCTGCCCAAGTTACCGCTATACATGGTAGTAAAATCGACCGTATGAACAGGGGTTAGCTGCCCAAGTTACCGCGTCTTTTTTCCACTGAACACAACGCCGTTCCCTCATCATGAATGTACAAAAGCCATCTTTCCAGTCTGATACGTTCATGATGAGGGTGCCTCAGAAGTCCTTGAAGAGCAGGTGGTTAACATAGGATGAACCACAAGTGGAGAATAAGCTTGGCATGACCAGGTTCATGCCACCAACCTGGTTCAAAACCAGGCCAGGTTCATACTGAATTGAGGGTCATGCCGCACTTGCGGCATTGGTTGGTAGCATGAACCTGGTCTGCTCGTGAATCCGGTTGGTATAGTATGAACCAGGTCTGTTCTTGAACCAGGCAGTTTGGCATAGCATGAACCTGATCTGTTCTTGAGCCTGGCTGGTATAGCATGAGCCTGCTCTGTTCTTCAACAGGGTTGGTCCTGCATGAACCTGGTCTGTTCTTGAGCCAGGTTGGTAATGCATGAACCTGGTCTGTCCTTCAACAAAGTTGGTATTGCGTGAACCTGGTCTGTCCTTGAACCAGGAATTCGAACATCATGCGAAAAAAAATCCAACTCCGCCGTGACGAACTCCAGCTCGGACGTGGAATTGGATATAATGCATGAACCTGGTGTGTTTTTGAACCAGGAATTCCGTCCCACTCGGCTATGGGTGGAATTCCAAGATTCATGCTAAGTCCATCTCGCTCGAAGACGGGAGCTTCGCATTGCACACACACACACACACACACACCCACACACACACACACACACACACACACACACACACACACACACACACACACACACACACACGGGCAGACTATCGGGGTTCAACCTCCTGATGAGTCGGTGAAA